TACTACAGAGGGGATCATCTGCAATATCTATAGGATGGAGAATCGCTGAAGTGAATAAATTATACAGGTATTACAATGCACTGTCTAAAAAAATATGCGGAAAGGCTCGTCGGAGAGTATCAAAGTGGATTATGCCAGATCTTGGAGAAGAACCTAGAGCACAACATGCACACATTCCTTATGCTCATCGACTTCAAGTTTGCTAATGACAGTATCCTACGAGCCAAACTATATGATACTATAAGATAATACCTCAGGGAATATAGGAGTAAGTAACGGACTAGGTCAAAAAGATGCACTGGCGTGTCTTCTGTTCAACATATGCCTGGAAAAGACGGTGATCTTACCACCAGCCGAAACAGGAGTAAGAAAACAATGTTGATAATTTACTAATCTCTTACACTACCAGAGGCTAGGTAACTTTAAATTGTACCAACTATTAGGTAGAAAAAACACAATGAACCAGATGTCAGGATCAGAATTTAGAGGCTGGAGGGTAGCTGCATGGAAATAAGTATGTATGGAGAAGGAATCTTTGGGAAGCCAGCGACCGCACAGAGTTGTAGCAACATAGATGATGATGAAATTCTAAATCATATTAATATAAAGAAACTGGAATTGGCTAGATAATGTAACTATAAACTAGTTCATATGTTAGCAATTATATAATCATAAAGAATAGAGAAGAAAGCGCTGTGTGATATTTTAGATTCTAGATGTGCGAGCATAGGATGGTAAATAGAAGCTGACTGGTCATCTAGAGTCTAGAGGGACGAGTGGTAAAAATAGACGGGAAAAGGGTTCAGTTGGTCAGGAAATAATCCCAATTTGACATAACCTTACGGTGATGCAGGATACTAGGGCTGATAATAATCTTATTTAGGTTATAATTGGTCATCCACGACATTTTTTCTAGCATTTTGAGCTTTTGATAACAATTATTAACCAAAATCGTTAACTGGGAGATTTGAGAATTCTCCACCACGTTCTACAGGGTGATTCTCAACCTATACGCATAAACTTGGGGATTTATTCCTCGAGACAAATAATGGGTAATAGGTGAAAAAATCTCGTCGACATCTAGATAAGGTGCTGCCTGGAAGATGGACAGATCGAGGTAGTCCATTGGTCTGGCCATCCCAATCGCCCCACCTCAATCTTCTTGATTTTTATCTTTGGGATCACTTAAAAAGCATAGTGTACGTCACCGAAGTTAATACTGAGCAAGGGTTGCGAAATCATCTTCAAAGCGTACAGTCTTTGCATCCAGAAATCATCTTACACTGCAACACCAAACTATCTCCTCTGTTTAGAACTGATATCACCATACTTATTTCATCTTCTGCGAAAAACTGTTTATATACATTTGATTGTGTCGTTTGCTCATGTCTATCTGATTGCAAGACTTGCCTGCACAAATGATGCATGGCCAAATTTAGTAACGAGATGAAGAATGACATGTACGGATCACTCAATATTGAGGAAAATGTTGAGAGCATCCAAAAGATTCAGGTAGAACTCCGGGGAAAAACGTCAGGCAAGCTTCCTCTGTTTCGTTGATCTAACCAAAATGTTCAACAAAGTAAGGATAAAAGAAGTAGAACAGGGCAAACATTACAAAGTATGTAATCTAAACTATGGTTACACTATAAATGATTACAAAATCAAGGTTGAGTGCTATGTAGATGGTGTCGTCCTCTTGGCTGATACTGAGGATGGCATACAGTGGAGATAGAAACTGCTTCCGAGATAATCGTGTATAGAAAATATTGGAAATAATTTGGAACACTTNCCAACTTTTGATTGACAACCCCGTTGTTTAACGGGCAGTGTTTGCTTTACTATTTTTTTTCTCAAAAAGTAGTCGTTTTTGGAAAAATTTCAGAGAGACAAAAAAGTTTTAGAATACTTTCATCTATCTATGTAAAATTTTTCTAATGTATTTATCATCTGCATAAAAATTTTTTTCGCAAAATTGCAAAGGGGGTGGTTACGTTTAGTAGTTTAGAAGGGTAGGTTGAAAGTACAAATAGGGTCAAAACGTGCCCTATTATGAGTTAAACATATTCCCCAAATTTCATTTTCCTAGCGTTTATGGTTTTTGAGAAAAAAAATTAAACCAAAATTTTCCGCCATTTTTGAAGGGGTGTACATCTTTAGGGGAGCCGAAGTCGCCCATGGTTCATATATCAAAGTACCCTTAAAATTCACTAAAGAATCACCCCTTGAAGTTTGTTGCATTCATTCAGATACACCCTGTATATTTGAGTGTGTCGTTTACTCATGTCTATCTGATTGCAAGAGTTGCCTGCACAAATGATGCGTGGCGAAATTTAGTAACGAGATGAAGAATGATATGTACGGATCACACAATATTGAGGAAAATGTTGAGAGCATCAAAATGATTCAGGTAGAACTGCGGGGAAAAAAACGTCAGGCAAGCTTCCTCTGTTTCGTTGATCTAACCAAAATGTTCGACAAAGTAAGGGTAAAAGAAGTAGAACAGGGCAAACATTACAAAGTATGTAATCTAAACTATGGTTACACTATGAATGATTACAAAATTAAGGTTGACTGCTATGTAGATGATGTCGGCCTGTTGGCTGACACTGAGGATGGCATACAGTGGTTAACACAGGCATTTAACATTGCAGCTGAGGAAGTGAATACTGAGGAAGTTAATACTGAGTAAGGATCAGATACAAACTGCTGCCGAGACAATCGTGTATAGAAAATATTGGAAATAACTTGGAACACTTACTTTGATGTCATTTTAAAATCTCATATGTATTCTTGATTTGAAAGTCAATTTCACCGATATCTAGGAAACTAAAAAGCTTTTGCTACAACTTTTTTCACCTATTACTCATTATTTGTCATGAGGAATAAATCCCCAAATTCCCAAGTTTATGCGTACAGGTTGAGAATCACCCTGTATATCATCTTCTATCTTTTGCTACATCTCTTGATTTGCATGGTTACTTTGGTACAATTTTAACAATTAGGCACTTTTTCAATATATCTTCCACCAGTGTTTTATCAACACAACTTAACACTGAACGTTTTTTACCTCTTAGCTTATTTTTTTAAGTAATTTTAATTTATATATTACACGATTTTTCAAAATAATTAATCCTTATTACTTAATTGTTAGTCACGAGACTCACGCCCATTTAATTATTTTATATCAACAACAAAGTATGATTATTAATATATCTTGAACGTTATTATGTAAGTTGGCATTTACAATAATTATAGTCATAAATTAATAAAGTACCGCAGCTCATTAGAGTTTATGAAAAATTGGATTTGTATTTAGCACAATTGGCATATGCATTCATTTCATTTTTAATTTTGTTTTTTAATTAAACTTAATTATCTTTAAATAGCAACTGAAACGTGAACCTTTTTATACGTATACGTTACAGGATATTTGAACTAGTTTTAATACAATAATAAATTATTTTTTGTCATTGATCTGTTTAAGGAAGTTATTTCAAGTATGCAAGGGGATAATAAATAACGAGGTAGTTAACACACTAGATTGGCACTTAAAAATAATTCTAGACTAAATAATTATAATGGTAAATAATTACCGTTATTTGATATTTATCTTGATTTAATACGGATTACGAAATGAATCAACTCGAAATGAGACAAATCAAAACAATTCTTTTAGCACATTTATTTTTAGTTATTAACACTATTTTAAGAAAAAGCGATAATTTAAATTATCGATATTAGATTTTGTGGAAAATTTTCGTATATCTAGCTTTTTCGAATTTAAATTTAGTTAAAATGCAGATTTATTACCATAAATCTCATATTACAAAGAATGCAACAAGGTGTTGAATAAATTTATATTCAAGATACCAAAATGGGTAAATCCGGAAGGAAATAAATTACTACCATTGAACTGTCATGTATTGTTATAGACCCACATTTCTATTTCGAATATCTCCTTGCTTAAAATTTACATCGATCAACAGCTCCTAATAGGAAGACGAAAAAAAAAGTCGTTCACGATTCGTTTTACTGAAAATCCTTGAAACACTCGGTGTGTTCCCCGATGGTGAAGAAACACTTTAGATTTAGACGAATTCATTTTGCAACTATTCCAATGACTCACCATAGTCCCCTTTTTTTAACAAAACCAAGTCATCGACCATCCATTTCGTTTTAAACACAAAAAAAAACGAAAATAAATACAAATCAGTAAATAAATAAATAAATAAATAATGGTTGAACAAGAAAAAAAAAATCGTTTCCACATCGCAATATTTCGGTCGCAACGTTTTAAAAGTAGGTCTTACTCGAATTTTGTAACATTACTTGAACTTTAATTAATGGCTCTATTTCGTTCTGATCAAAGAAATAACGTACGTAGTCTGTTATTGACATTGTTCCATTATTAGACGTTAACCGTATCGATTTTGAGAAAAAAGAAAAGTTTAAATGGAAAAGAAGTCGCTCTAAATACTCTAATACTGATTTATGTCATTGAAATAACGAGAAAGAATGGGGCGGCAGTAAATTAACCGGCGTTTATTTAATTGATTTAAATAACGTCATTTAATTTATATGAATTATCTGCGCTTAAAGGTAAATATAATTCAAAGTTATTACTTTAGTATTTGAAATCGTTTATTCCATTCTATTCACATCTGCATGTGTGTGTGAACTATATTTTATGTACAAAGACAAAACTGTTTGGGTAGACAGGATACTAACAATCATTTTATTTCATTATGTTTACAAAAGATTTGTTAAAATTAATTTGAAGGAAATAAATGTTATAGTGTCATCGTCCTGAATGAATTGATAAAAAAATAACAAGATAAAGAAGAAAAAATGATCAAAAATATTTCCTACTTATTAGTTGCAAGTATTGAAATACTTCAAATAAGTTTGTTAAACATTTCCATAAATTGTAGGTCTATAAGTTATGGAGACTTTGGGACTGCAGCATCAAAATGGACTGCAACATATGTGACCTGGTCTATGAAAAGGGGGCTTAGGTGTGAAAACAAGTTTTCGAGAAAACAGCTGTTAAAGATAAAGAAGTCATTTTATCATTTTCGCTTTAGTTGTTCGCTTCTCCCTGCATCCCACCGCATCCTACTCTGTTCGAGGACATCCAGTGTTGTTTCTGCTTCGAATAATATCGTATTTGATCGCGTGATTTCGTGGTTTTGCTAAGTTTTGCGCTTTAACTACCAACACTGAAGAGGTGAAATGCGTAAATATTATTATCAATGGTGACGAATTCGTTGTGTTGTACATTCCTCTTTTTCATTACGTTTACTGAATAATTTTTATGCGTCTTTTGCTTCCGGAAGAAATTAAAAATGAGTGTTGAAGAAGAGTTCAGTGCCGTTTACAGACAATATTTTGGTGAAAACGAAGAAGATAGTGATAAATCCGATATTGATAATGATTTGGACAGCGATTATGATTTATATCAGGCAAGAGATGATACAGAGGAAAGTTTCGTTAAAATGGGCTTATCTATGGCCGATTTAGAAGAAGAAGAGCTGATAGCAAAATTTCTCTCTACCAATTGTTGTATTAAGAAATGCAATACACTCATACCTCGAGATCGGATTGTTAGTAGTAAAACCAATTGTTTAGAGCTATCCAAAAACAAACTTGATTTAGTGATACTAAGTAATATCGAAGCTGGAATAAGGTATAACGAAGAATTCCAAGGTGTTTATTCAGAAATTGCTAAGCGGAAGATAGAAGGATGCAGAAAAGGTAAAGAAGTTACAAGGCATAAGATTCAGTTCTCTTTCCTCGGCATACCAATTTGTCGTTCACTTTTCCTTTTTATACACGCGTGCGGAAATAAACGTTACGAACACTTGGTAACTCATTATCATAAAAATGGTGTAACAGTGCGAGAACATGGCCTAGCAAATAAACCAAGTACGAATCAAAAATCATTTAAACCGGATGAAATTCAAAAGGCTGTAAAATTCATTGAATACACTGCGGATCTGTTAGCTCTGCCCCTACCTGGCCGACTCCCAAAATTTAAAGATTACCGAGTTATGAAATTACCATCGAACGAAACGAAGTCGTCAGTTTACCGAAAATACATTGCTTCACTCCAAGATGACGAACCAAAGATGAGTAATCGCAGTTTTCGACGTATATGGGCTAAGTATATACCCTATGTGACAACTATGAAACCAGCAGACGATTTATGCGACATTTGTCGTGGTAAGTAGATGAATGTTTACTTATCCAATAATTATATCCAACACTAATCGACTTGACTTTTTTTTCTGTCATAGGAAACACGCTGTCGATTGCGCTAACTAAAAACATCTGATATTGAACGAGAACAAAAACTGAATCAATTTCTCGAACATCTCCATAGAGCTCGAAACCAGCGAGCATACTATAAAAGTTGGTGCGAAAATACTGATGATACGGCAGTAGTTCTTTCCTTCGATTTTGCCCAAACGGTTCATTATCCACTTAGTCCGCAGCAGCCGGGTACAGCTTACTTTAAAGCAACAAAGAAGTGTGGAGTTTTTGGAATAACAAACGAAAAATTAAAAATTCAGGTGAGGATATCAAACATTAAAATTGTACGAACTCGAACCACTTGACCTAATTTTTTTTTCAGCATAATTACTTAATTGACGAGAAGGATGACGTGGGGAAAGGGCCGAACTGCGTCGTGAGCATTTTGCATCACCACTTGGAAACCTATTGCGAAGACATCCAAAAACTTGTTATTTTTTGTGACAATTGCGTAGGGCAAAATAAGAACAATGCCGTACTATCGTATTTACAATGGAGAGTTGCTCGAAAACTTAACCAAACGATTTTATTCAATTTCCTTCCCACAGGACACACAAAATTTGTTCCTGATCGCTACTTCGGGATTTTTAAGGCGAAATATGCTACCAGCAATATAGATACGTATGAAGATTTATTGAAATGTGTCGTTGAATCCTTACCCAGTGGTCATAATAAAGCGGTATCGGCGGAGAATGTTACATGGTATCAATGGGATAGCTATTTGAAACCATTTTATCGGCCACTCGTTGGTATAACGCAGTTCCATCACTTCATAATCTGTACGGATTGTGTCAAAACGAAAAAATTCGCTGATAGTGAGGACGTGGACACTTTTCATCTGTTGTTGAAACCTATCGATAGCAAAATGCCGGAAACTATACAACCAGTTGGTTTAACTTTAGAACGCCAATGGTATATATACAAAAATCTTCGCAGTTTAGTCACAGATCCAGGAAAAGTAGATATTACAGCTCCATTACCAAAAGAAAAGTTGGTATCAAAGAAACAAAAGCCCGAAGTTGATGGAGAGGATAATTCTGCGGCTCCCTTGCCAAATAAAAATTTGGTATCGAAAAAACGAAAGGCAAAAGGTAATGACGAGGAAGATTCTACGGCTCTATTCCTAAAAAAGAAGTTAGCATCGAAAAAAAAAAACAACAAAGGCCGAAGAAACAGTGAAGGAAGATTATGTGGCTTCATTATCAAAGAAAAAGGTAGCATCGAAAAAACTACCTTTTTTAGTTAGAAAGTTAGAAACCAGTTAGAAACTTCCGGTTTGCGCCATTCGAAAGAGCATATTTTACTTTATCTAAATCGCCAAAAAAGTGAAAAATGATTTTTTCACAACTAAGCCCTCTTTTCGTAGACCAGGTCACATATTATGAGTGTTGAAGTGATATGTTCATTGCGACAAAACTGCGGTTGGAAGCAAAATTCTGGAAAAAATCGTCAGAAACCGATATGAGTCAAGCGTGGAATGTTTTCTATGGATTTTCCAAAGGAATGATAATGATGTAAAAGTTTATTGTTCGGCCGATTTGAGATGGCTAATATTGGTCACTAACAAAAACACTCCTAAGACAATCATCGAAGGTTTTTATAACTAGCTTGGAACAGAGAGTTGGCACATCAATGATCCCTGGGCGTAGCCTTTTACCGTGCCAACAGAGGATGTAAGTTTGTCTGGAAGAAGAAATAAAAAAGATTCTATAATCTTTTTTCTTTTTGGCTATACAAGTTATGGCATGTTTGAATAGATAGTTTCAAGCAGGCTACCCAGGTCACATAGAATGTTGACTTGAATGCAGGTGTCGAATTAACCAAACTTGAAATGCTGGTTCATGGAAAATAGCCGAATGTCATATCTAACTCATCTCTATCTATGCGCTGCTCCAAGTTGGTCCAAGTCACTTAGATAGCTCCGTTCTTCATGTCATGTTCTTCACTATTCCTAATTACCTCCACATCCTTTTAGAATTTCGTTTCAATAATAACCATGTTATTAGTGCTAGTTGTCATTACCACGATTCTTATCGTTCTGCGGTAGTTCATCATCAAGTCATAGACTCTAACTCTGATTTATTAATTCATTATTTACTTTAATAATTATGGCATTATTAATAGAAATGAAATAAATAATACGAGATAAGCGGTTGCGAAATCACTGGTTTTTACATTCCCAGAAACACTTAGATTCGGTTATCCACTTCCTGGAATGGGTCATATAGTTCTTGCATTAACATTCATTTATTGAGCAACTTGGTTTCTGTAGATTTATTAATTTTGCGACCTGTAACGGGTGCATAAAAGGTTTTTTCTGATTTTGCGGAATCATTCCTAGTTCTTTCTCTTTTCGAAATCATTTGATGATGACCAATTACGTGGATCAGTTAGTATAAGCTACCAACATAGCTATTTCAAGTCGCCACAGCTATTTCCGACTTCATTTTGCTTTCAATCTATCTAACAACTGTACTTCTGTTTGACATTTCTCCTCTTTCCAAACCTTCTCTAAAGTAGCTGTGTTCATCGCATTCTTCCTCAGCTCTCTTCTCTTCTACTTTGCTTCCTTGATGTGATTAGTTTTCACCGAACCACAGAAAATCATAAAGATGAGCCACGTTTTTGCCACACTGCACAAACAAATATCGGCGAGTTTGAAGAAGACCAGGAGAAAGATTTATTGCTACGAGACTTTTAATAGTTCTGGAAAACGTCAGATTTCATACAGCCAGAGTTATAAATATCTGGTTCAAGTAGGTGTTAGATTATTTTATTTGGTGATGCTAGACATGAACTCCAGGGAACATGTTTCCAACTCCAAGAAATAACATCGACCAGAATATTATACTTAATTTAATTCGAAGTATCCATCGTCGACAACAAGCAAACATTAACTCAAGAGGATGAAATACGCTTTATATAATCATAGAAACAAAACTTGTTTGTTTTCATATTAATAAGATCAGAAAATGCAGAAATGATATAGAAATGATACTTTCAATTAACTTCAATCAATTTGAGGATTTTAGAAAATAGAAATACGATTAGCATTTATGAATTATGTATCACTCCATTATGTAGGAAGCGTTAGATCTAATAATGTAATGTAGTATTATTTTTCAAAAAAACATGTTTGTAGTTATAGCCTTTTTAGATAAATTAATAACAGCATCTACTTATTTGAAATTTTTTTTAAAGTTATTTTGGATTTTCATTCACTCAAATCTCCCTTTAATCAGTCAATAATATTTTGTTATAATATAATGAATCTTATTTAAGTGTATAGAAAAAAGTAAATAACCCATTATTAAGATGAGTCAACTTTTAATACGGAACAGAGGAAGTTGCTGATGACCACAAAAAAAAATAATATCTCAATTAATATGTTTTCTGCTGAATAATTTAGATTAAAAACCGCAAAAATCCAAAATCTACGTCATCGAAATGAGTACAATCTGTTTTAAGTTTAACGTGGTGGGATTGAAGTACTTTTAGCATACTATACGGAGATTATTCGCGGTGGCCTTTAACTCTCTCCTATAAAAACATTGCTATCTTCAACTTACAACTTAGTCCGCACCATAAACGAACCATCGACGGTTGGTTGGGAATTACCAATTCTCTTTTCCGGTGTTACGTCCGAAGAAGTAGTGAAATTGGTTAGCCTGGCCGCGATATCCTCTTTAATAATTTTTTGCGCTAAATTTTTAAATTAAAAACTAAATCATGCCTCCTCAAGAACATAACGATATCCACGGCAACGAAAACGATTCTTCTTCCGAGACCAAGAAGAATAATGTTTCCCTTGAGATGACATCGAGTGGATTTTCAAACAATGGTTTCGTCGAGGACAACAATAATCGTAATAACAAGACGGTGAATGAAGAGAAGAAAAAAGTTGATGAAGAAGATGGTTTCGATTTCGATGATTTGTTACCGCATATTGGTGAATTTGGAAATTATCAAAAAATACTGTTTTTGTTGATGATACCCTTTGCATTTTTTGTTGCGTGGGTGTATTTTTCACAAATTTTTATAACTGTTAATCCGGAACAATATTGGTGTAGGGTACCTGAATTGGAAAATTTAACTGTTGAACAAAGGTAAGAATATTCTTTTTTATTGTAGTGTTGTAATAATATTAAAAATAAATATTTATGATCGATGTTTTATTGGTTTAACGATAACTGTTTAATTGTTTTTATAATTGTTTCCAATCAAAGCAAATAATTTTAAATTTACTTTATTTTAATTTTAATAAAATATAGGATTTATCTTTTTAAAAGAACATATGTTAGTTTTCTAATCATTTTGGTTTACACGTGACTGACAAAAATTTAGTTTAGCGTTATAGTGTTAATATAGCTAATTATCATCATACTCGTTTCAATCACCTTTCAATCATAGAGTATATATAAATAATATACATCACAACATTAGAAAAACCCCGCATTATAGGCAAAATTTGCAATCAAAAGATTTATTACGATGCGTAGCGATGCCTTATTGTATTTGATTTAGAAATTAGCAAGTTATAAATAAGTTATCATCTTCATAACATAAAGCATAAATTTTGAATAACATTTATTTGAAAATCTAGTATAATGCCACCTACAAAAAAGTATAGGTTGCTATAATTTATATTATAGATCATTCATTTAGCTTCGGTTTAATCAAGGTCTAAAGCTTCAAAAGGTTATTTTATGGAATTTACTAAGGTATTCATTAAAATGTGTAGGTAATGCAAAATTTAAGTTCATTTGAATCTGGTCCAAACGATTCCGGTATCTAATGCTAATATTGTACTTGACATTCCTGGTCATGTAATCATTGCACTTTCAACATTTATGATGTTAACCTTCCGTTCAAATACATCTGGGTTGTTCGCTGTTTCCTTTTAGACATTGGTCACACATCCATGCCCACAAGTTTCTTATATACTCAACGAATGTTAAATGTCATAAGTCATAAGTAACCCAAATATTTTCACCCAAACTATTTCAATCCTATTCTCTTCTAAAATAAGTCTTATTTAGTCTTCAACAATAAAAGATTAAACATGATATAGTACCGTATGAGTGGTAACATCTTTTTGGACAACCCTTGTTTCTTGTTATGTATCGTGTACTTTCAAAATTCCATTTTTTTTTTGAGATTTGAAATTTTGGCGAAAATCTTGTTTGAGAATGAAAGCCATCACCATCGTCTTAGTGAGAGGTTTAGGGAAAGTTCACTTTGATGTTATCATTCCGAAGATATCATCAAAAGTCATAGAAGAAAATTCAAATCAACGTTTTGTGAATACTTTCTTTCCTTGGATTTGTTAACCTTAACCATATTAATCTATAGATAGATTTATCTTCTTATTGGCCATTTCAGAGGCGGTTCAAATAAAGCGGTAAATCTTTTTCTAGTTAGATCTTTGAAATGGTACTAAACCATGTGGTATAATCTTAAGCAACTGTTTTGTACAGATTTTTCAAAATGATTACAATAAAAGTATCATATGATTGGTAATTCATAGTACCTTGTTAATAAATATCAAGATTTTTCACATCATCGGTATGACCATATGATCTTTAGACATAAATATATAATATATAATAATAAATAAAGAATTGCTTATCAAAATGGATAATTGGGAAAAGCTGGAAGTTATGCTTACGAGATTTGAGTAATTACAAGTTGTTGAAAACCACATTTTTAACTCATCGTAGCCCTAAAACTAGATGTGATGCTATTTATTCTGTTACTATCTGAGGGTGTTTTGCCGAGAAGAAATTTTGAGCAGAAAATGAGTTTATGAAATTTTTAAATTCCTTGTAATATTCCTAGTGCACTGGAAGCTTTGTTTCTAACTATTCTAAACTATTATTTATAAGTCACAAAGGATGTACTTTAGTGCAAAAAACACTACATATAAGTCTTAATAAGTTTTAGATGATGAGGCTTCTTCAGACAATAAATTGCCCAAAGCATCAGCTCATGGTGGCTTTTGCTGTTTATAAATTCCTTAATAATTAGATTCCAAAAGATTCAAAAAGAGAATGTGATGTGGTTTTCATAAAGATTAGTAATTGGGTCAAAAAATGTTTGTCAATTATCACAAGTTATTTTTCTAACTGTACTAGATAGTGGTGTGCTTAATATATTTAAATTTAGAATAGATCTTGTTTCGGGATTAACAAGAGCCAATATTTTGACGCCATATTTATTTGGCTTACTTCAAGATTTTTCAAGCTTTTCATCTATGTTTCGATACCCGCCAATTGTTTAAGCATTTTTGCAGTTTTTGGCAAATATTGTAAAAAAGTTTCTTATAAGTGCAAATTATCAGATAACTTTGTCTCATTTTTGTATCCAAGTCATTATATCAAAGATGTTTAAGTTAAAAAAGAGTTACTCAATCTATGACTCTTCAAACAGCCAGCTGAATAAAGTAAACCCTAAAGGGTTCTGTTGTAACTTTCCCTCTTTTTTGACTTATTCTTTTATGTGTATGATCAACAATTATTCTCAACATATCTTCGGAAAAAGATGAATAAGAGATAAAAAAAATCTTCGGAAAGAAGTTCCAGCAATCAATTAAAGTTTTATCTTTCGAACTTTGCACATTTGGATGTAAGCGTTGTTTTTTTCAAAATATACCCTTCTTTTCCAGTGAAACTAGGAATCTGCTGATGTTTCACCAATGGAGTGATCAAACGCTATACTTTGATATATTTTGACCAATTCAGTTACCTTGGCAGTGTTTAATAGGATCGTAAACGTTTCCATAATATGTCCCATATCAATTTATAGTGGTGTCACTGCACGAACAAGTGGTATACTGAACATTAAGAAGGTTTTGAAAGGTATCATCACACATGGTTACCTTTTTGCATACGGTTATATGGCACTTGGAGTCTGAAAAGCGCTACCGCTCCAGAGTTAATAAGGAGAGATTGTCTAAAAAAAGTTTTTGGGTAGAGAGTTAAATGTAAAAACAATGCTGATAGGTTCTAGCAGATGGGATCAATAAGGGGGAGAACTAGCTTGCTAAAATGACATGATGATTTTAAACAAAGTGATTACTTCAACTTTTTCTGCGTCTTCTTCCTGACCCAGGATGAAAGTGCTAGTCTGTCGAATGAATGGCACGATAAACCGTACTCTGTATCGCGCCAAGAACACGAGCAGCATAATAAGAACACTGCCTGAGCAACTTTTGCAAGACTTAAAGGCATTTTTCGTGTCTACCAACAGTCAACGACACTAAACGTCACTGAAATGTTTTCGTTAATTTCCCTGGCTTGTTTTAATTTCTGATGGCGCTGCCGAAGTAGCTGCGTTATAGAGCTTTAGAGCTTGTATCTTTTCTGTTAACAACAGTAGAAGCTCCTTATGTTTAAAATTAATTTCGTTTCTCGATGCACCACACAGCAAGCTTCAAAGTTTATTTTGAAAACACGCATTAGCGTTATTCACCATTGTTGAAATTGAAGAGCGCCAAAATGGGGAAGGCACCTACAGAATATTGGCAAAGGGTAGACCTTTTAAATAAAAAAAACCTTTGAAAACACTTTGAAACTGGTCATAATTTTAGGTGATTCGTTTTTTATGCCGCTGAGTGTATTAGTTGTTTATCACTCTTTAATTACTCATTGTTTATTTACGTCTGGCGAGATTATCAAATATGGCAAATCCAATTTTATTACAAAATTACAATTTTTTTGTACAAAAAACAAATAATCCCAACACACATTATGTTTACAAAATAACCGTTTACAAAACGATAATTGTTTATTATTTTCCAATTTTGTGCTCTAACGGTTTTATTTTCCAATTTTTGTAATCAACTTTCGTAAACAATATAAAACAAATATTTAAAAATACTTCATTCCCATGAAACCAAAATAGAAAAGAATGTTTGCGTGCTTACATGACGATTAATAAAATCCTCGTCAATTTTCAAGATCGTGTTCTTGTGCTTAATTAAGAAGCCGTACCCTTGAGGTCAATTCATTACAATTTCGGTTAATTGGCGTCGTTGAAGAAACGGGAAATAACGTTGAAAATTACTTGGAGACCTTTGTGGATGTTGCAACTATTATACATTTTCTCAATCTTAAAATAGATCGGTATTAAATAATCTTGAACGGTTAAAGTAAAAGAATTATGAAATAAAATTGAAAAAAAAAAGATTGTAAGGTGTGTTAAGTTTTATGGGTTGGGTTGGGTATCTGTAAATCTGTATAAATGATCTAGAAATAATACAATTTAATGTAAATATATGTTGAATTAAAGAAGCTTTTTAAATTTAATGACAAATTGTTTTCATTAATAAAACATTAAATATTTCTTACAATCTTAAAACAGATATTTTAATTACCTAGATTGCAAAACTTCTTTTATGACTACTTTAGTTAACCGAGCGTACAATCACATTCGTGTCGTTATTAAAGAAACCATATAGTGGTTGTCATATCGTAATTAAAACCGAGTAAAGTAATCAACCAAGGCTTGAAATACCTGGTAAATAAGACAACATTTCGATCTTTATCGAAATATCTATCTAACCGTGGAATTAATATTGTAACGAATAGTTTCGCATTTTCAATTTGATATCGAGATCATCAATTAAACATTCTAGTTGAAATTCCAGAACCTTGTTTGGAAAACTGAGCGAGTGCACTTAACCTTCTATAATCTAACAGAAAACGTCGACGTGAGTTAACGACTTAACACGTAACGTGTTAACAAAAATATAGAAATATGGAATTACGAAATGAGGGTTAAATAAAAAATAATAATCATTGAAAAAATACAATTAAAATAGCTTTGTTGCCGACTTCTTCATTGTTTCTTGTCGTTGTTTCTTGTGTAGCATGGAACTTAGTGACCATGACCAGCTTACAACATCCCAGTTCGTTTATAAATAGCACCAAGTTTCAATATTAATTAACTTTGAAAAATAAAATGAAATTTATTTTTAAAAAATATTAAAAATAATTAATTTAAAACTTTTCAAAAAAAGATTAAGATTAATAACTTAAAACTTGACTTGATTAATATTGGAATGACTAATAACATTCCTAATATGTTATAATTTGCGGTTTCCTCG